TGCAAGAAACTAAATGCAGAAACGTAAAGAACACCAGAAAATGGTATCGTAGTTCGGTGCGCACACCTACTCTGCGGGGCCATGCCCAGACAGTGATCAATCCACTAAGTTCAAAAGATTACAAGGACCGAAAACAGTCTTACACACTCAACGACTCCCTCCTTGAAGATGTTGTCGTTGCCTAGAACCTCCTTAGAAGACTTGATCAGCGAGCACCACTCGTCTTGATGGGTTCCTCCCGAAACCAACAAAATCTTCTTCCGAAGAACCAATTCAAAATATGTTCTCACAATCCGTCACAACTCATCAAGTGATTCTTGGCCTTACAATCTCATTCTCACGTACACAGTTCTGCAATCCTCAGCACACTCTTACTCAAAACATTCATTCAGTGTGTACAACCTAAACCGTGCTTCACCCAATCAAAAGACCATCACCAACATTCAAATCTGTCAACCATTAATTCACTAAGTCAACTATACACTTTCTGCAACCAAATCAATACGATTGCTGTGCCACCAAAACTTTCCTTAAGAAACTCCCTCCTTCTTACGCCAGCGAAGGTTACCACCAAATTACAACCAATCTGCCTAAAATAGTTTTTCAAATAGTTTACCAAAAATAAGCCAATAACAAAATACACTAACAATCTCCCCCTTTGGCTATTTTTGGCTAAACTAACAAAACAGCCTGATTACTCAAAAAAATCTGACTAAGGCAAGAGGATTAATTAAATGTTCTCCCCATTTTTGACAAAAAGATAGCCAAAGACAACAAGAAATAAAGGACAGGAAAGACAACAAACTACTGTGATGTACCAGCATGCCCATCAGCACCCGAGGAAGACTGAAGATCTCCAAGCATAGCAGTGATCTCCTTCTTCATGTGTCCGACCCTCTTCATTTCCTGAAGAAGATGAGACTCATATGCTGACAAATTGAGCAACTCCTTGGACAAAAATTGAACGGTTTTTGCATTTAAAACCGCTGCTGTGGACTGAGAAGATCTTGTTGCAACACCACCAGAGACACTCGGAGCAACACTAGGTTCAGCATTATCATCTTCATCAGAACTCTGCTCCCCCTGAACATCATCGACATGTTTTCCCGAATGCAGTTTCTTCGAGATTCGAAGTAACCCCGACGCCTTCTCAAACAACTCATCCGACTTCTTCACATCATGTTGCTTCGTCAGAATCCCATAAATGAGGGAAGGGAAAGGAAGAACCGGATGAGTGATTGTGGCTTCAGCATTGCTGATGATCTGATCAAACACTAACTGCCCAAAATCAAA